ATAATATTATATAAATATATGGTAATTAAATCTAGTATGCTGTGACACGTTGAAGTATGAAATGATACGTTACGACGTGAATTTAAAAAATTCGATTAGTTTTATTGTTGTAGAAAATACAATCAATCCATAAGTCAATCTGCACAAACAACAAAGAAGCATGCCACAATCAACAAAGAAACAACCAAAGAACAGAAACAATCACACGTTTCTGCTGAAAATCTATACTGTGCGATGAATAGTGGCGATAGAGCCGGCATGTGCAAGCCAACTATACTTTAGATAGTGTTGACTTGGTTAGATCTTTGTTCAAGTGCTTAAATGTGCAATTCAGTTTGCATTCTTATGCATTTTTGTCTGCTAGTTGCGAGCAGGTAGCAAGGACACATTTTACTATGCGGTTGTAATGGATTTTGTATGTGACTACTCTTAAGTTTTACGTCGTGTTTCTTGTGGATAGTAACGCCTTACCACGGCAAGAACACATTTTATTACTGTGTGAAATACGTTTACAAAAGTGTATAGGTTCTATTTGTTTGAAACAAGACCAATAAGTTACAAAATTGGCGAATGACGTCTTATTAGATGAAAGGTCGAGTTTAACTACCACTGGGTTACAGCAAGAGATTACCATTACGTCTCTGAACATCTGCATAAACGCTAGACCTTGGTGGTGATATATCACGGGCGTTTATCAAACAACGTTAACACTCTCAACAATGAAATATACGTTGAAGCGTGGAATTTAATGTTGGTTATTTCTGAGTGTAACCTATAAAACCTCCATCGATAGAATGTGCGGTTTGTTTGGTCATTTCATGGAATATAATCATACATGCACAATCTACAGCATTAACCAAGTGACCAGTTTCGTTGAAGCATTGATTATGGATACTGAAATAAACATAAAATATGCATCTGCTATAGCCAGTTGTCAATATTGACTGAGCATACTTTATTATACTACTATTGGAGTCACTGTATATAGTTTTCTTTGGATTTCTGAAGTGGATGGGGACATAAAATATGGATACTGTTTTAGTGTGTCATAAGAAAGAAACAATGCATTTTACATTTACACTCTATATATAGTTCAATGAATTAAGTAATTTTTCACTATGAAATTACATCTTAAGAAATTACATTTAACAGCAATCCATTGTTGGTTGAAAGTACTGTATATACTTCGCAGAGAGTGGACAAGCATCCTAAGTAGTCTTGTCCTGATTAGTTAAGTTACAAAGGTGGAAATTGTCTATAAAAAATAGTTTAAAATCTCATTTCGTCACAGAAATTGTGTAAGTTATCAAACAAATAGGTAGCTTAAATAAGTTTACAGTGCAACTTAAATACCCTACAAATTCCAACAGAGTCCTATATTAGGGGAAAAGTAAAACGTAACTGATTCTGAACAATAATAATTCATAAATATATACAGTAGGTGTGTACGATAAGAAGGTTTAAATAACGAAACTTTAAATTTTGTTTAATGTTTTGCGTTGTTGATTATAAACTCTAACAATAAGAATACTTCCGAGTGAATCGAGATAAGCTTTTGTTATGTAACGGATCGTTCACCCAAATATTCGCTTTTATACTCTATGTGTAAACAATAGACTGACCATGTGTTCCACATCCCATTGAGTTCCATTCCCAGCTCAGTGTGGGTATTTACTCAGGGGAGGTATAGAAGAGGCTACGATGACAGCTGAGGGCTTCTTATTAGCTGAGGGAACGCCATTGCCGTAACAAAACATTCTTCAGCCATCGGCATCGGTGGTCTGATGGTTAGCGTGCCGGGCTGGTATACTGTAGGACCCGGGTTCGAATCCCGCTGGTAGCTTAAACCTTTTGCCCAAGATTTTTTTATTATCAGCAAGTTTGGTTGGTTTGGTTTGGTTATTACAGTTTAATTTTATTATTAAGTCATTATAAAATTTTAATTGAGCAATTTCTAGTTTTATTTAATAAACAGAATTATTTTTCCGATTACTAAACTGTTGTTATATTATTTCTTTATCAGCAAGTTTGGTTAGTTCGGTTAGGTTATGATAGTTTAATTTTATAATTAAAAAATAGTAAAATTGAATTTGAGGCATTTATAATTTTATTTTATGAACAGAACTATTTTTGAGATTAGTAAACCTTTATTGCCAAAGTGCTCTCTATTACAGCGCTGTTCACGGAGGAATTTTGAACTAAATGCCTCATTTGTACCTCCCCTAAGTCAGACCCCTCAGTGTGGGGTTACAAATATTATAGAGGGTTATAAATAGAATCTTTGACATAATACAACAGTTGAAACAGAATCAAGTGGTTTTCAGACCATTTCATAAGATGGGCTTTGCCATAAAGGCATTCATCACGTCTTTTTCATTTATATTATTTTAGTGAAGAAAGTTAATAATGTAGTCTATCTTGCTATTCTATGTATCGAGTGTGACAAAACTAAGGTTGGCATACAGTTCCACTGAGAAATCGCAATTAACGTCTGAATGATACCTGAATAAGTAACAAACAACTTCAAAACTATTTTAATAAAATAAAACTACCCAGTTGAAATGGATTTCTTGACCTCTAGTTGTAGTAAAGAGCAAAGCGCCCTTAAAGTACTCATAGGTAAACGAACATGATACACATGTGTTACAACAGAAAGTTTTTACAACAGGGTGAAAAGTCTTCTTTAAGTACAGTATTCAAAGTCGAAGATTTTTCATTTTTCTGTCACCATTTAACAAATTACAGAAATAGTCTACAAATTAAGAGAATAAACTAACCCACCCAAGCATTACCGAACTCAAACACAAGGAATTGTCTTCAACTGAATAATGGAATTATAAATTCTCCAGTGAAAATTTTAAATCAATGCCAATAAATATATATTGAATTCCTCGGCAAATACATTTCGCCAGATGACAAATGATTCATCACAAAAGGTTCATGAGTCAACTAAGGTTAACTACCAGCAGACCAGCCTAGTACCAATCTCGAGCCATATGTAGAAGACGCGTAACCAGGATTGCAAAAAGATGAATGCGAAACATGCAATGCGTTGTGTAAATGTTTTTGAAATTGCGATGAAAATGTATTTCAATTTAATGGCTATATTTTAGTCTATTTTCATATATTTTATCTATAAAATTACGGCTAAATAAGGGATTGATTGAGTTGAAGACAACTCAACTTCAAATGAGAAGATAGTTTGGTGTTTGGAGGAAACAAAAACTGACAAATCTCTCAAGCAAAGAGTACTTTCTCTATATTGGAGTACTCACTATAATAAAAGCTATATGATAAATTTAGGATATGGAATTCGGGTACCGTTGCGGCCCTACAGAGTTGCAAGTGAGCACACATAAAAGACTTCAGTTTTAAAATAAATAAACCAAACATACAAGGCCTAAAAATATTACAATCTTTTGGATTTCAGTACACGAACTAGTAAGATTGTTACTAGTTGCAGTTTGTATTGCCTGAAATACGTTTAAATTGATGTTTTTTTTTATTAAAGTGTTTGTGTTAACTATATAATTCGTTGCTACAATTACTATACCAGAGGGTCAGAAAATGACAATTCTTTGGACAGTTATACAGTAATACCATAGATAAAACATACTCCCATTAATACTGACGATGAACAATTTAAAATCTTCAATGAGTGAACGGCTGGTTTATTGTTTAGAGAGCAGAACTGTTGCTCGGGTTCAATTCATGCCAGTCACCTGATTTTAATTATACATGTATTTGATAATAATGACAACTGGTAGTTCAGAGCCTAACTTATATGGTTACATATCTGGAAAACAAATAATTATAGGGCACGTAGGAAAAAGAGCTCTCTCTGTTTTTTGCAAACTCCCTCAATAAAATCGATCATTTGAATAATGAATTGTACAACAAGTTTAGTTCATTCGCTGCTAACAAGCATTTATTAACTGGCAGTCACTAATAGAATGCAAGCTACGAATGTGAGATTAACAGTTCAACAAGTCTGGTATGTAAATAATGTACTTGAAGATCACTTCTCCTAGAGCGTACTTCAACACAACACGTGTACTTAGTAAGTAGATAACACTTGACTGATGTTATTCACACGTGGCTACAACATATGCAAATTTAGACAAAATTACATGTGCAAAATACTGTAGCGTAGCGGGGGTTGTCCCGGATTTTAAAATTTTGGTACGATTGGCCAATTGCATAAGCTCAGATAAGAAAAATAGATGCGTAAATTCTGTGCGTCATTCTGGTTTCGATTAATTTTTCATTCACATTTTCCTCATGTTGGCAGCTCTGAATAAAACCGGACATTCCCGAATATATCACTCTGTCCACAATACGGGAATTCCGTACGACTGACAAATTTCTAGGGATTTGACTTTAACAAACTCTCTACTGGCATTGTTTTATAACAATACTAGTGCGCAAACTGTTGAATAATAACGCGCGCACACTATGAAGACAGTTGAGAATAAACGTGACTGAATTATTCTAACTTGGAACAAATTAAACCCATTCATTCGAAACCGTAAAGATAAAGCTAATAGCTTTCAAACAAGTTGATCGTAAAACAACTAATAGCGATTGAGTTCATTAAGATGTTTATATACAGTATTGTCCCTACATATGAAACGAGAAAAGAATCATAAATCTGTAATATGAAAAAAACATTACTTTAGACAATGTTACAAATCAAAATAGCAAACAAGTTTGTTACATTTACCATTCAATGCTATTTAGAGCAAACTTTAGCAAATAACTAATAGCAAAAGTAGCCTACTATACATGTTGTCAATAAAAAAATACAAATCAAAATTTAGTTTTGTTACACATTTTTTGTATAGTTTTCCAATAAATATAATTAAATTATTCGGCATTACGAATCGTGTTTTACTTTTCAAACCCCCACTTAACACAATGATAAATTGATATTTGAAATTCCAACAACCTGATGATTCAAACTACAAAACAACACAATGTAAAAAAAATGTGATTCCCACCTGAGCGGGGTCCATTGCAAAGCCATTTCTCCTGGATATCCTAGCCTGGCCGTTCCAACAGTACACTTCATCTAATCACCATGACACTCGTCTGAACTTACAAGTGAATAAGACAATGATAGTAAACATCAAGAAACATACAACGGTAGCGACATGGCACCAGCGCTACTCCCCAACTACTGGACTACTCTAGTAGCGACTGAGCCTACGTAGAGCGATCTTGCATCACACCGCTGTTAACAGTCTAATAGCTCAATTCTCCTACACTCACTACTATACAATACCGAGGTGGAGCTGAGACGTACGAAGGTCTTGGGTTCGAATCCGGTTAATCACAAGTGTAGAATTGAGCCGCCGGCAGAGAGCGCTCAATAAATAACTGACTTCTGACAGATATATAAACTTTGATAATCAACTAAAACGAGAACAATGTATTTGAGGACATGGGATATTTTGCCACTTATTTTTTATTGCTAAAACTAAGGGAGGCAATATAAATTTTCTCGGTAGCACAGTCATCAGCAGGTGTTTTATTTGTATCAAATTGTTACAGCTGGTCCATAAAGATGGGGGATGGGGAATCTACTTGTGTCCAAAAGTCCGTGATAAATTAATTACATTTAAATAGACATAAATGTACTCCCCGAATTAGTTGTGGACAACTGGACATTTTTCCACTCGATGGTGTTAGGGGGTCGTTTAGGATAATGATAATACAAATACAAGCATAGATTAAAATCTATGATACCCTTCGAAAATTGAATGGTTTGATTTTTAAAAATAAGAGTACATACTAAGCCAAAATAACTGATCAAATGGAGGGCTATGCATCAAATGTAAATAGTACAGTAGAGCGGGTCGCCTTCAATGGGAGGAATACCAAACCCAACACACATGCGTTGTACGGGCGCTCCACGGCACGGCGCGCGGCGGATCTGTGTTAAAAATTAATTACTCCTTTTAATTTGTCTGTTATTTAACTGATTTGTCCTTGTTTCAATTAGAAAACGTTATAAATAAACTATTTTTATATAGTCCAATAGTATTGTTTCTTTTTAATTTTTTTCCATTTCCTCTTCTACAGTGACATTAGGACTATCCGTACAATTTGTTGAGAGGATATAAATTAAGATCTGCGTGTTATATCAAGTTTTGCGTTTGTTTATGAGTTCTTTCAACTATTGATACATATAGTTGACCAAGAGAGGTTTCTCTAAATATAGGCATATCTCACTTATGATACCGTATGATAGAACATCCTAAAAAATACTAGCCAAAAACGTACAATGTTATTCCTGTTTGGGGCCAAAAAGTAACAGTAGTTGTATCATACGGATATTTTCTTGCTTAACAGTACTGTAAATAAATATCCCAGCTATATTATTTCATAGATTGAAATAAACAGAGTAGAGTGAACAGATATAAATTACCGAGTTCTGTCGAAAATTTAAACTTAACCTAAAAGGAAATAGCGAATCGCTAACAACAGCATATTTAGTGTTACATCCACTATATCACAGCATCGAAATTATGGAAGAGCATAAATTTCGTCTGTAACAAACTTTGTAGAAAAATCGACTAGGTAGGATCCCGCTGTCAATTTATTCAGCAATTTATTCACAATGTTTCCATTGTTAATTTAAATAGTATTTATAGTACATAATACTGTAAATACATCCATCCTAAGTTAATTACTCCCCAACCTTCATTAACATAAGAATAGTTAGGGAAAACACTAACTAAGGTTACGTTCTTTTAAATGTTTAAACTGTAAGCAGTTTTAACCAAACAAAACTACGTGGCCGAGTGAAAGGTGTAATTTTTGTGTCATGTTTGATTTGAAACATACCACGGTGCTCAATATCCGTTTCCCAGTGTGTTTTATTGAAATCTTTGAATATTAAAGTAGGCTTACTGTACTATAAAAGTTGAAATTGTGCAGCCATCGCTCTACATTTGGAGACCGACGTGTTGTGAAGATGTTGACGTCTCAGATCGTTATGGAGCGAGTGATAATGAGGTCTAATGATTCTTTGATTGTTTGGGAACCACGGAAACCATGACTATGCCTCCATATCTCCACGTATTTCTTGTCCTATCTCCCAGACTACCTTATTAATATCTCTTTATTTACTCATCACATCTTACAAACAATGCACCAATTACAAAGACTGGACTTATGTTTTATTAAGTTAAAAACAATTAATTGGAATATGTTGTTGTATTGGTACTAGCAGTGTGCTCGATCTTCGAAAGGGGATATTTAAACAAGTTGAAACCTTATTATATTTAGAACGCAGTTTGTTTCATACCAATTTTGGCTTTTTCCAGATATACAGGCAAATTGTTTTACACATAACCGTCGCAAAAAAATATCTGATAGGTTTTAAGGCAAACCAATTAAATACCTCACAAATTAGTGTTATGGGTAAGCCTACGCTAGCGATGGCAGAACAATAATTGTGAGTCAAAACCGAATTAGACACATTTGAAAAGCGAGGGTACACTTCCATATCTTTTGGCACTTTTAAACAACTGTACCGATTTTCTTTACACAACCGAATGAGTAATATTGATTGTTCGATTGTTTAATTCAATATATCGTTTGGTTAGTTAGGTTCGGTTAACCTTACCTAACTAACTAAACCAAACGATGTATCGAGTAATCGATATATCGTTCGATATTTTCATTCGGCTGTTTGTGCCAACAGGTCTGAAAGTGTACCCGAAGGCGCATACGTAAACCTCTGTTACGATCACAACGGAATCTTAAAGATCTTCCGAGATCGCAGCAATATCTGTTATCACCCACTGCAGTTGTGATTTTTTATTTGACACAACAGCCATCGGAACGTCGTTAATGAGTGGAAACCTCGATTGTAGGCTATTAGTGACGAGTACTTAAACATTTCCAGTTGCCCAGTCCTACACAACACTGATTCATGGTCTTTTTTCCGGTTATCAAAACTCAAGTACAGTACAATTTGGTATAAGAAGAATCTCCGGCTTCCCGGTCAGCATGGCACCAGTATTTTCATTTTGTTTACATTTATACACTATTGTACTTGCGATCAATTGAATCAGTTGAACAAGTCACAAGTTGATTAATCTCACTTGTTGGATTTGCTCATCGGAAATGTAAACTTAACGATCGGAAATGATTGCAGTTAGTAAACAACATTTCATGTAACGTCAGTGACTGACAGCTAGAAAAAATAATCTTTGTCCAAACAAATGCTTATTTTTTATTGATGAAGTATTTTCTAAACAGATGATTGGTATTTGATGAATTACTTATGTGGTAAACATGAGGAGAAAATGTGACGAAGATCGCACAAAATTAGGTTTTTGAACGTTCGTTGTCTTACTTCCAAAGTAGAGAGGCCATGTTGATATAGCTAAAGACATTCTCAGCTATCCAAAGAATACAATAAAACGATTTGAATCTTGATCCGCGACTCAAGTTTTTTCGGAGTAGATTTCATAAAGTGGAATTTTTGCGTCTCAGACACAATGACTGACAAAGGTGTAAATAAAAGTAGGCTACGTACAACAACATTGACGCAGCTGACGGCAAAGTGGGTTCTCGCATTTATCTATTTTAGGATAAGACAGTCATGTGGCCTGACGATTAAATGGTCACATTTTGTCGATCAAATGGTGACCTTCGACCCAACAGCCAAGATGTGACGATCAATTTAAAATGTTTTCTATGGTTTTAGAGGTTGGAGACAATCGTGCGTGTTTTTCTCTTTGATATTATAATACTAAGTGATAAGTGGTAGTTAATATTTCTTTACTTGCTACAACAAAATGTACCCCTGTCGCAGCAAACCTGCAAACCAAGCGAATTTCCATTTACCTAATTGGATTTACACTAAAATGTCTATTACGTTTATTCCCTATTTTTTAAATAAAATCAGTTTAACGAGTACTACGTTCAATCCCCGATGAGAAATGTTTAACATTTTTTCAAAACATAAAACTCGCTTTATCTCCAGTTGGTCACGAACGGCGAGTTAGTTGCGCTCATTTGTGTTGTCATAAAGGCAAGAAACATTTTAGTTAAAATTTCTGAATTCATTTGACTCGGAGACGGTTTGAAATGTTAACAATGACCATCATTACAACGTTGAATATTCTGAACGTGTATTTCGGAACAAGAGCTTAGTTTCTGACAGCTCAACTAGCGGTCGTTGTTTGTTTTAACGAATTTACTCAAGAAAAAACTTTACTAGACACTTTTTCGTATCACAAATTATGCGATTTACACCAAATCTACCAAAAAGTTAAATAATTACAAGAGTACCTTTACATTTTAGGACAGTAATAAATATTAAAATATTCTTAGAAGTGGAATTCCTTTTTTCGATTTAGTCACAAACAAGTCTACTTGCTGAACCTAGAACCTGTAATTAAAATAAATTGTTAACTCTGGTTTTGAATTTTACTTACCCCTTAGACACAGCTTGTAAAGAAACCACATTCATCCCGAGAATGGGAATTTCAGTTACGATGGTCATGTATCCCAATTAGTCCGCTTTGTAATTTACTCCGAAATCCGCGTTGTCCCTGACACAGTAACCGTGGAGCTGCATGCCTCGACAGTCCCGCCCACCACTGGCGCGGTGCTTGCGGGAGTTTGAACATAATTTCGGTAAATTTAGGAGGGTGGAATAACAGCCTAAAGGATTACTACTATTCATTTTCATTCGCTTAATTAACCAGGAGTGTATAAGAAATCAAAGAGCAGTTGCATCACTGCTAAAAATGAACCGTAAATATGTGTAATGTATACAAGTTATGCTATAATTTCCCGCAAACACCAATCTCTTTAATTGATAAATCTAGATTTTTTTAAATGTTATTGTATGGTCACTGTGGTCCACACTCTGTATAAGTAGGCCGAGGCACATGCTGTAATGGATCTGATGGACACAATAGGCACAACACACAATAGAAAATCTATACAGTATCATAATCGGTATGATATGCATACCCGTTACTATAATAGTATACTATGCGTACGGAGTGCACACTATGCACGATGCAAAAAAACGTATTAGCATCAACAAACGCTATCAAACAAAACATAATTTTGTAAACGTTTTTCCATAAATATTTAATATTTCAAATAT